CATGCAGAAGAAACAGTAATGCACCGTTGTTTGTACAGAATTTTGTGAAGCTTAGGTATTCAATACAAGCAAGGGACGTTTTCAGATTTTCTTTTTTATGTAATGTTCATTGGAGCCATGAAGGAGTTATGATTTGCCAAATCTCATCCTTGTCAAATGATATGTTTTTGTATGTAATACTGTCAAACAATGACAACTGGAATAAACGCAAAGATGTTATAGTAAAGGAAGCGTATACCCGGTTAAAGTAGCACAACAGTATAATTCAGGAAAATTTCGCATTGTCATTTTTAAATACCTGTAACTTTGTCATTTTAAAAGATAATGAGAAAATATATAATTAGAGAAGAGCCATATTGAAAGAAAAATAGCCAATACAATCTAAAAGAGTTGGTAATTCCACGATTACTTACATGTTAAAGGGGCACTAGCTGTCAAATTCATGTTCACCGATTTGACTCAAATTCTCATATTCGACTTATAATATACTAAAACGTATATCCAAATAAAAAAGTCTAAAATAAACAATTTACGATGCATAAACTCGAAATTATGTATCAACATTTCGTGTGTATTTAGTCTAGACGCCATCTAATTAACCATCGAGGTGACCTTCCGAAGGCTGTCGACGGTTATATAACCCGATATAAACAAAAACATATATATAAATAGATAGCGAACTCGTGCAATTGGATTTTTCTAAGTCTGTTTGATTTCATATTATGGGTTAAAACAATATGTTAATAATCGTTTTTACCTGTATAAAATGAGTTTTTGTAGATCGAATCAGTCAATCAAATGGTTAACCCTTGTTTCACTTTCAATGTTGACATTCTTTTCCTTTTACTAGCTGAACACGCCTAGTTCATGCGTAACCCTTCTCTAGCTAAGAGGTTCAATTGAAGTTCACACGAATACGGATTTAATGAGGTCGAATTATTCACTTGCAAGTGAATAATTTATTAGCGATTTTTCTTTGCTTTTTTTGACAATACTGAACCAAACTGGTTGCTAAAAGCGAATTTTTATATCACTATTTCACTTTCATTAATGTTTGAACAAAAACAAATCATATTTTATTTTTTCTATATCTCGTAGCTAGTGCCCCTTGAATGAATAACCATATTTGTGTAACAATTTTTTCTAAAATCAGCGTTGTCATCTCATTATACGTTTGTTAATCACACAGATCATAACAATGCTACACAACTGTATCAAAGAGGTTTTTATATATTAAGGATCTCGGCAGATGACAAAAACAAAAAAACAAAAAAACCCAAACATTTCCAGCATAACTTGTTGAAAAATAGACTGTTGCGCTAGCTGGAGTATACTTACAAATGTAATACAAAAGTGTGATTAAAGCTCCATCTAACTTTTGTTTGACAATTTGTTCTTCTGTTTTGTTGTGATGCCACTGTCATAGGTTATTGGAGGTTAGAGGACTGACGACCATGTTTAACATTGACAAGTTCCTGTTTAGCCTTTCCAAAAGCCATGATACTTCAATCCAGTGGTTATCGTTGGTTGCTTTGCCTGCTAGATTTGTTTTCCATTTATTATTGTAGTATCGACCAGGCTATTGGTTTCAGATTTCAATTCTTTTACGAATTCGCGAAAGAACACGTAGATACACTTTTCGAGTGAATTAAGGCTATGAGGTTGTTCCTTTGGAATTTCAACCTAAACTACAATTTATATTGCTGGGTCTTCCAAGTGATCAACGAAAACTCTTTTTAAATTATAACATCAATTTTATCAGCAATCGAAGCCTTCCTTACTTCAAAGATATTATGAAACTACCTATTCTAGAGGTGGTGTGAATCAAATGTGGATACAAAACAAAATATAAAAATCCGTTAAAGTACATACATTCTAAGACTCTTAAGTTCTCACCTTGAAAAAAGTATTAAAATATTTTACCTTTCTACCCTCTACACAAGTATTCCCCATTCTAAGCTAAAAGACAATTTAAAAGAGTTGGTCCTGCTTTGTTTCATAAAAAAAAAAGAATTGCTGACGTAGATACAAGTATCTTGTCTAAGGGAGGGATAAATCGTACTATTTTGAAAATAACCCTGACTCCAACAAAAAATTTCTGAAACTGACATTTTAAAGATGCTTGATTTCTTGATTGACAAAATATTTGTCAAGTTCGGAGGACGTCTTTTTCAACAAACAATAGACATTCCCATGTAAACCAACTGTGCTCATCTTATTGTCGACTTGTTCCTTTATCACATGATGCTGAATTCATGCAGAAGCTTATTAGGAAAAATGAAAAGAAGCTAGCATTATTCTTTAACCTAATTTTCCACTATATAGATAATGTCCTCTCACTTAATAATTTAAAGTTTGGTGACTATGTAGAATGCATCTATCCTATTGAACTTGAAATAAATGAAACAACAAATACAATAAAGTCTGCCTCATATCTTGTCTAATATCCAGAAATTGACAATGAGGGTCGGTTGAAAACACACTTTACGACAACAGTGATGATTTGAGCTTCCCAATGGTGAACTTTCCATTTCTATGTACCAACACTCCAGCAGCGTCACCATATGTACTATATATTCCAGGGCTTGCATTTCCTAAGTTAATTGGACTTATCATTTTCATGAATTTTGAATGTTTATTATTATGCATCAAATATGTATTAGATACAATACAAAGGTAACAAGGAAACAGGCCGGTAACAACTGTTGCCAGGTAGTTTTTCTGCACGAGTAGTCAGGTGACCTGACTACAAGTGCAGAAGAACTATACGGCAGTTTGTTTCCGGCCTGGTTTTTTTTTGTTACCTTTGTTTTGTATCTGACTTGTACGACGTTTCAAGAAAGAAGTAGAACGTTTTGCATTTAGAAAAGGTAGCAAAATTAAACAGATTAGAAATTTAAATGGCCATATACCAGTTAATGTAAGTTACAGTTTAAACAAGCTTCTTTTTTCACTTCCCTTCAACTGAGAGTTTTTTTCTCAAGAAATTCAAGAATCTTATTATGTTATAAAAAAGAACCATGTCAAGTAAAAGATGGATGTCGTACACATTTGAGACTTTTTAAAATGCAACTTCGCAAGTAAGTAATGTATGAAAAAGATTTCAGAGGTAAGCAAGCTAACATTTGATTTTTATTTGGGGGGAAAACGGAAAAGGGGGGGGGGGGGGGGTTAAAATAAATTTAAAATAAACAGGCTTGATCCTTTTTTTGTTGAAAAAATGCAGGATGTGCCATTCCATCCCCCCATTCCCCCTTAAAAAAATATTAAAAATCGTACGTTTGCTCCCAAATCTATGAACTCAATATATATGAATACAATAACAATATAAATGTATCAAAAGAATGAATTTCCTCTTTCATTAGTGAATGAAGTGTTATGAAAAAATGGATGTTGTCTTGTTATTAGATATATATATAGGCATATATTTTGCTTCATGCTTATAGGTTTTTATATGTCTCTGATAGTGTTGATCAGGATTAAACACGTGTCGCAATATGATCCAATCGCAGCTTACCGTCCAAAATTGGTGACATAAGTTTAATGATTTTCTTCAAGATTTGCTGCCTATTTGAACATGTATTACACGGACACTTTTTATTTATAGGATCAATCGTGCATTGGTGAGTTGATAGGGATTTTATCTTTTGATTAGATATAATTTTTTTATATATATTTCCTGTCTTTTTTATTGAAATATAAACGTCGGTACCAGCATTTCTTTACTTTCAGCATTGTCCAAAATACTATTCATGTCCATATATTGAAAAAAAAAATACATTTACGGATCGACCATCTAGCTTCAAAAGGGGGTTTGTTTTTTTTTCTGAATAAGAAAATTATTTAGTTTTTCAACGCTATCACCCAAATATTTTTTCTTCGAAATTAGCACTATTATATACGGTATTCGGAAAATCAGGAATCAGAACATTATTTTGTCATCTGCTTGACCACAATATATTTTTTCCCATAAAATTGGGGATCAGAATATTTTTTTTAAGAAAAACCATAACCCCCTTTGAGGTTAAATAGTCAATCCCTTAGTGTACTTATATGAATAGTAATATACTGGAATTGTTTGAAAAAAATATAGTTATTGATGCCAACGTATTTTTATAAAACAGACAGGAAATATGTCGGTGAAACAAAAAGTTCAAATCTAATTGAAATTTAAAGTGCCCATGAACTCGCTGATCATGCACGAGTGATTCTATTCATAAAAAGTGTCCGTGTAACAACTAAAAAGTGTCCGTGTATCATCTAAAAAGTATCCGTGTAACACCCGTTAATGTACTGTTTTTCTATAGCTCTGCTGGGGGCAAAGTCGTACAACACCCGTTAATGTACTGTTTTTCTATAGCTCTGCTGGGCGCAAAGTCGTACAATGATCTTTATTTAGTATATTGTATTCACTATATGGCTTTGTTCATATATATAATATCCGGTATATTTGTCTGCCTATCAACATTTAATCATAAATTTGTAATTTATATTTCGAACTAAAATGAATTTACATATTAGCAAGAGCACAGCTCCTGTTAATAATCCATTTGTTGAAATACTTTTTAAAATATAATGTATACATGACCAACTCATAAATGACCATGTGTTTACACTATGTTTGTAAATCAAAGCAGAAGTACACCCTCTTAACTTGTTTTCATTATCATTACGCTCTATATGCTCAAATTCATTCTATTGTTTTACTTATAAAGCCAGAAATTCTCAGTATCTGATTAAACTTATAATATCTAGTAAAGTATGAAAAAAAACAAGCAAATGGTTTTAAATTCTCATACATTCAAATTATTTTAAAGTGTTACCTTAAAAACTTACGTTTCATACTTTTTTTTTGGGTATGCATTACACACAAGTGTTTGAACCTTATCTTCAAATGAACAAAAGACAGTATCTTTTAAACAAGATTTAAAAAATTTCCTTACAGGAAGTTTTTCTCTCTTTGAATTACTACTTTAGAATTATACTTAAGATACCGAGAAATCGTTTTTTAACAGGACGTTTTATCGTTATTGTTTCTTATTTCATTTTTGTTTGGCTTACTTTTATATTATACTTCAGATATTGGGCTCTAAATCCATTACTATTGAAAATGGGTAAGACATTTTTCAGTTATATCTAAATGGATCAGAAAATTTCTGTAATCGGTCATGTACATCTTTGAATGAATCATCATGTCTCGCAAAAATAAACCAATTTACACGGTTGGACCGTACAGTACACTTCAAACTTCTTCTTTTTTGCAAATAAAAAAGTGGCGTCAATAAAGATTTCTAATGTTTTATAATATACCCTTGTATAATTGTAGTCATTAACAAAATGTATGTGACAACATGAAAATTATGGCTCAGCAGATTGTTTAATTTTGTTTAATTGTCATTACCTTTCTTAACTTGTAGAAAACCGGATGGATCAAAGCTATGCAATAATTATAGATAACATTGAACCATCTGAACCAGCTGATCAACAAGTGATTGACGACTGCACTTCTCCAACCAGTACTTCTGTAAGTAAAAGCATAATTCTACAATAGTTATATATATATATATTAATAATTGGACGTTTTATTTTATTTTGTTCGGACCTGTGTAAGCGCATTTGTATTGGCGTCTATTATGTTGCCGTCCGAATACTCTTCGCATTTTCAGTTTCTTCTCTAAACCAATGTGCCAGATTATACCCAACATGGCAGGAAGGATGAAAGATTCTTTACAAAGACCCTTATCTGGTATTATACTTTACTATAGCAACCACTAATAAAATAATTCAGATATTACTGTATGTTTTTCATTCCTTCATGGAGAATAACCCCCTTTTCCGGCGGAAAATATCGCGTAGGCAAAATAACTGTTTGCGAATCTTCACGTAGGCTAAATATCTGTTTGCGAATCTTCATGTAGGCAAAATAACTGTTTGCGAATGTGTGCATAGGCAAAATAACTGTTCAGGAATAACCGCGTAGCAAAAAATAAATGTTTTTAGCGCACATTTGCACGACAAAATAATATCAAACTAGAGACATCATATCGCTTGTTTACATCTGGTAAATATGGCGAACTCCTCAACATTTTGCTAATTCTCGAATCTGGATATTGGAAAAATTTAGAGACACAAAGACTCAAAAAGCACCAAACAAGCTTCAAACTTGGGTTAATATGGTTGAATGAGTATGCACAACGCACAAATCTATGAGATCTATGAGAAATCTTGATGTTTAGCTCACCTGGCCCAAAAAGGCCAAGTGAGATTTTCTCATCACTTGGCGTCCGTCGTCCGTCGTCGTCGTCCGTTAACTTTTACAAAAATCTTCTCCTCTGAAACTACTGGGCCAAATAAAAACAAACTTGGCCTAAATCATCCGTAGGGATCTAGTTTCAAAAATGTATCCGTTGACCCCGCCCATCAACCAAGATGGCAGCCATGGCTAAACATAGAACATGGGGGTAAAATTCAGTTTTTGGCTTATATCTCTGAAACTAAAGCATTTAGAGCAAATGGCAATGGGTAAAAATGTTCAACAGGTCGAGATCTATCTGCCATGAAATTTTCAGACGCATTAGACAACCCATTGTTGGGTTGCTGCCCTTGAATTGGTAATTTTAAGGAAATTTTGCAGTTTTTGGTTTTTATCTTAAATATTATTTAGATAGAGATAAACTGTAAACAGCAATAATGTTCAGCAAAGTACGATCTACAAATAAGTCAATATGACCAAAATTGTCAATTGACTCCTTAAGGAGTTATTGCCCTTTATAGTCAATTTTTCGTAAATTTTTGTAATCTTTTACAAAATCTTTTCCACTTAATCTACTGGGCCAAATAGAATTTAACATAGCCACAATTTTCAATAGGGTAACTTGTTTGAAAGATGTATCCGATGACCCTGTCATCCAACCAACATGGCGGCCATGGCTAAAAATAGAACATAGGGGTTTACTATAGAAGTCTAAGGGAAAATTGTTAAAAAAAAACAATTTCAAATGGTCACAATTTGAAAACTAATTTAAATAATGATAAGGGGTCTTCAGTAAAAACTATTGTAATATAACAATGGAATGACCTGCTTTTAATTTAACTACTGGGCCAAATTAAACCAAACTTGGCCTCAATCATTATTGGGGTGTCTAATACTATTTATTATGATTTTAACCTTATTTTACATGATTTCCTAAACAACAGTAGATACAGGTGAGCGACACAGGCTCTTGAGAGCCTCTAGTTCTAGTTACAGTCGAAAGGAACTTTTACCTCAAATCTTTATGTTCATTCAAGGAAAATTATATCTTTGTATTCAGTTCAGTATAATAATACAGTTTTGGCCTTCATGAAAAGTAAATATCCAAAATTTTTAAATCTCAGAAAAGGTTATTTTCCCTCGGTCCTACGGACCTCGTAGAAAATAACCTTTCCTCGATTTAATAATTTTGGATATTAACTTTTCATGAAGGCCATAATTGTATATTATCGTACAGATAAACAGTTATTGTATAGATAATAAAGATACACAAAATATTTGCCTTATTTGTATATGTACACAGCAAATTCATTGTATCCTCCTTCTATGCTGTACAAAAGAGAGGCAAAAGATACCAAAGGAACATTCGCACTCATAAGTCGAAAATAAACAGGCAAACAGCAGTACACAACACCAACATGAAACACAACAAAAAATCTAAAGACTGAGCAACACGAACCCCATTAAAAATTGGGGTGATCTCAAGCGCTCCGGAAGGGTAAGCAGATCTTGCAAACGGTAATGTTAAAATTACTATTAAAATAACGGTTCCTTTTTGGGTCCCCGTCACAGTTCGCGCTAAAGTCTTGTCGACTTAACTGACTACTGATGAAAGGTATGTTATAAATCTTGATAGTAACAACGGACTAACTACTGATGAAAGGTATGTTATAAATCTTGAGAGTAACAACGGACTGACTACTGATTAAAGGTATGTTATAAATCATGAGAGTAACAACGGACTGAGTACTGATGAAAGGTATGTTATAAATCATGAGAGTAACAACGGACTGACTACTGATGAAAGGTATGTTATAAATCTTGAGAGTAACAACAGACTGACTACTGATTAAAGGTATGTTATAAATCATGAGAGTAACAACGGACTGACTACTGATTAAAAGGTGTGTTATAAATCATGAGAGTAACAACGGACTGACTACTGATGAAAGGTATGTTATTAATCATGAGAGTAACAACGGACTGACTACTGATGAAAGGTATGCTATAAATCTTGAGAGTAACAACGGACTGACTACTGATGAAAGGTATGTTATAAATCATGAGAGTAACAACGGACTGACTACTAATGAAAGGTATGTTATAAATCATGAGAAACAACGGACTGACTACTGATGAAAAGTATGTTATAAATCATGAGAGCAACAACGGACTGACGACTACTGATGAAAGGTATGTTATAAATCATGAGAGTAACAACGGACTGACTACTGATGAAAGGTATGTTATAAATCATGAGAGGAACAACGAACTGACTACTGATGAAAGGTATGTTATAAATCATGAGAGTAACAACGGACTGACTACTGATGAAAGGTATGTTATAAATCATGAGAGTAACAACGGACTGACTACTGATGAAAAGTATGTTATAAATCATGAGAGTAACAACGGACTGACTACTGATGAAAGGTATGTTATAAATCATGTGAGTAACAACGGACTGACTACTGATGAAAGGTATGTTATAAATCTTGAGAGTAACAACGGACTGACAACTGATGAAAGGTATGTTATAAATCATGAGAGTAACAACGGACTGAGTACTGATGAAAGGTATGTTATAAATCATGAGAGTAACAACGGACTGAGTACTGATGAAAGGTATGTTATAAATCATGAGAGTAACAACGGACTGAGTACTGATGAAAGGTATGTTATTAATCATGAGTAACAACGGACTGAGTACTGATGAAAGGTATGTTATTAATCATGAGAGTAACAACGGACTGACTACTGATGAAAGGTATGTTACAAATCATGAGAGTAACAACGGACTGAATACTGATGAAAGGTATGTTATTAATCATGAGAGTAACAACGGACTGACTACTGATGAAAGGTATGTTATAAATCATGAGAGTAACAACGGACTGACTACTGATGAAAGGTATGTTATAAATCATGAGAGGAACAACGGACTGACAACTGATGAAAGGTATGTTATAAATCATGAGAGCAACAACGGACTGACTACTGATGAAAGGTATGTTATAAATCATGAGAGGAACAACGGACTGACAACTAATGAAAGGTATGTTATAAATCATGAGAGCAACAACGGACTGACAACTGATGAAAGGTATGTTATAAATCATGAGAGTAACAACGGACTGACTACTGATAAAAGGTATGTTATAAATCATGAGAGTAACAACGGACTGACTACTGATGAAAGGTATGTTATAAATCATGAGAGTAACAACGGACTGACTACTGATGTAAGGTATGTTATAAATCATGAGAGTAACAACGGACTGACTACTGATGAAAGGTATGTTATAAATCATGAGAGTAACACCGGACTGACTACTGATGAAAGGTATGTTATAAATCATGAGAGTAACAACGGACTGACTACTGATGGAAAGTATGTTATAAATCATGAGAGTAACAACGGACTGACTACTGATGAAAGGTATGTTATAAATCATGAGAGGAACAACAGACTGACAACTGATGAAAGGTATGTTATAAATCATGAGAGTAACAACGGACTGACAACTGATGAAAGGTATGTTATTAATCATGAGAGTAACAACGGACTGACTACTGATGAAAGGTATGTTATAAATCATGAGAGGAACAACGGACTGACTACGGATGAAAGGTATTTTATAAATCATGAGAGGAACAACGGACTGACAACTGATGAAAGGTATGTTATGAAAGGTATGTTATAAATCATGAGAGTAACAACGGACTGACAACTGATGAAAGGTATGTTATAAATCATGAGAGTAACAACGGACTGACAACTGATGAAAGGTATGTTATTAATCATGAGAGTAACAACGGACTGACTACTGATGAAATGTATGTTATAAATCATGAGAGTAACAACGGACTGACTACTGATGAAAAGTATGTTATAAATCATGAGAGTAACAACGGACTGACTACTGATGAAAGGTATGTTATACATCATGAGAGTAACAACGGACTGACTACTAATGAAAGGTATGTTATAAATCATGGGAGAAACAACGGACTGACTACTGATGAAAGGTATGTTATTAATCATGAGAGTAACAACAGACTGACTACTGATGAAAGGTATGTTAGACATCATGAGAGTAACAACGGACTGACTACTGATGAAAGGTATGTTAGACATCATGAGAGTAACAACGGACTGACTACTGATGAAAAGTATGTTATAAATCATGAGAGTAACAACGGACTGACTACTGATGAAAGGTATGTTATAAATCATGAGAGTAACAACAGACTGACTACTGATGAAAAGT